GAAATTAACTGGAGAAAACCGCCAGGCACACTTGGGCAGAGCTAGCTAACCCACTCACGCTAAATCAAAACTCTCAGCTAACGTTAACTTTGAGGTTTCTAAATCACTCATCCCAAGACCCATGATCGTATTTCAACAGCCCATGCCTCACCAGGGACTCCTAGGACCAGTCAGCAAGGAGCACCCTCGAGAGGCATGTACAGCAACAAGCCCCCCACCGCCTCGCCTCCAGTATCCTCTGTGATTCCCACTGCTCGCCAGCCACCTTCCTAGATCAAGCATAGAGGCCACTGAGATGATCGGAACATCCCTCAAGAGCAAGTGTCCGCGCCCTGAGCCCAGAGGAGCCTAGAGGAGCCCCCACACAGGTTAGACTCCAGCAAGTATGGAGGTTGTGATCATGAGGCAAGGGTGCCCAGTGGCTCCCCGCTCCAGATCAATGTACCCCAGGAACCACTCTCCTTCCCAGGAGAGTGCCCTGGAGCCCCAGTGCACCATTCTGGCAGCACTCGTGCTGGAGACCAGAGGCCTCACTGATCTGACCACAGCTGTCGTCCTTCCTCTCTATGAACATGTCCTCCACACCCGTGTTGAGACACAGGGCCACCAACCACACGAAGAACCAAAAGGAGAGTCCCATACTAATCTAGGGAGACAGTCTTCACCCCCAGGAGGCCCCAACCCAGCTTCTGCAGGGCCTCAGCAGTGACCACCATGGAAACCCCCCATGGGCCATTCAGCCTGCCCCTTCCCCTCAGGGGCACTTCTTAGCTGTTGGATTGACCAAAATGCCAGGCCAGGCCCCACTCCTTCCCAAGTACACCCACCTAGACACATACACCGTGCCAGAGACATCTCTGCTCTCGCTCCACGGTGAACCCCGCACTGCCTGCAGAACCCCACTATGGGTTTGCCGGCAATGGCTCAGGCACCTGAAATCTTGGCCAGAGATTCACAATTTGCTCTTTTCAGCCTGCACTGTGTCACTAAGTCTGTTTTCATGTGAAGCCCCCTGACTCTGACGCTGGATCACTGCCCGCCAAACAGCGTCTGTCACCTTAGGAACTGACAACAAGGACCTCTCTAGGATCTGAGACTCCGCCCTCCAAACAAAAAGCAAAATAATACTTGAGACTGGCTTATAAACATTCTAGGTTGGAGCCCAAGGCCCACAGCTGCAAGTAGCCAGCCATGGTGGCAGCCCAGTATCAAGCGCCTGTGGGAGCCTGAACCACAGCCTCACAGCCACCTAGCTGGTCTTTGGGAAAAGTCCTCAAAGAACGGGCTTCACTTCGTAAGTCCTGAAAGGAAGTCCCAGCAGCCCCTAAACGCACTTTTTAAGCCAAGCCCTTCTGAGTGTGGTTTTCTTTTTTTCTTTTGTCAAACAGAAGTCCACACTTTGACAGGAATTCCTTAAAAAGTGAAGCATGGCAAATCCCATGGTCGGCCAAACCCCGACTCACCAGCACTCAGGGGCCTTCACGTGAACCAGGAACCCAGCCCTCAATTCCTGGGGAGTGGTCAACAAAGGCACCGCCCAACCAGCCCTGGACCTGTAATCCCTTCTGAGGGGAGCTGGGTATGTCCCCCAGGTGTCAGTGCCACCACCTGCTCAGAGAGGACCCTAATGGAACCAGCTCACGTCACACTACTGAGGTGGGGCAGGAGCAACAGTTGCTTACTCATCAGATTAAGAGCAAACATGTAATTTTCTCCTCTACAGCAAAGTACCAAGTAGCTCTAACTATAACCAGCCCTCAAAACCCACACTGTGCCAATGGGTGCTGAAGCTCTATCTGGCCACTTCCCACAAGAACTTCACCTACAATGAATGGTCAAGGCAGCTCGGGAGGGGCAAGGAGGTGTTCAGCAGCACTGCCCGGTAGTACTCCACCACCTCGTCTGCCCCATCAACACACCGGCAGCCCCGTATGGGGCCCTCAGGCTCCACCCACCCTGGGTGCTTCTGTACAGGAACAAGCATTTCCAGGGGAAAGGGATCAGCAAGGACAAGTTGCCGGCCTCTCCAGAAATAATCCTGTTCCACGCATCCAGAAAAGCCATGTGGGCCTCAAAAGGGGAAGACTAACGGTCAGTTCACGTTGTCAGCCAGCCGTTTCCTGCCTGGCTTTGGACAGGTCACTTAACCTCCCGGAGCCGCTGCTCCGGGGCGCTGTGCGGTGTGAGCACCAGCAGCGCACACCTTGCACACCTTCCGGCTGTGAGCACCTGGCGCTCAGGCCCGTGCCCGGTGGGGCAGGTGCGGGCCCGGGGAGCCAATAGCACCCTAAGCCCATAACCGTTCCGTGCGGGGATCAGGCGGGGGTGAGGTCTGCGGGAGGACGGGGCCCTTCCCGACAGGGTGGCGGCGGCTTCCTGGGCGTTAGACGTTGGTCACAACTCACTGCGAGCTCACAGCAGCTGCGCTTTCTGCTCACGGGGCCTCAGTACAGTTCCTGCTGCAAAGAAGGGCCCGGGAGAGCCGGGGCACAAGTCCACTCCGCCGAGGTTACTGCCAGCAGCGCCCGGAAGCGGGAGGGACGCCTCCCTGCGCCGCCGGCGGCCTGACCTTGTGTCCACCGCCTCCCCGGCCTCCCGGGTCTCGGAGGAAACCTTCAGCGTCGGGCCCACGGGCAGGCCCCGGCCCCGGAGGAACGTACCAGCGTGTCTGTTACATAACGCGACCCGCGGGCGCGACCAGGGCGCCCGGCCG